ATCATTTACATGAAACTAAGAGGGCCAAGGAGGAGGAGAGGCGGGGAGTAGGCAAGGACTGAGTTACCTGTCCCATCTTCCACGTTCTCCACCTCCATGACTTCTGTGTTGATTCGACCCCTGAAGATGTACAGGGAGCCATTGATGGATTTGGTCCTCTTGGTTGATTTCTTGCTCCCGGTGACCCTGAAAGACAGTGGGAAGTGAGTGTCCCCTGCACCTCACATCACCAAAATGCAACTGTGCTCAACAGAGCAAAGGGGAGATTAGAAATACCAAGGGGTGCTTGGGGATGGGAAGGGGCACAAGATCAGGGTCCCAAGTGGGGCCTACAGCTGGTGGCTGGGCAGCTTGAGCAAGTTATTTCTCGGTCACAGTTTTCTCATCTGTAAAATGGGGTAACAGCCTTGCTGACCTCACAGAGCTACTTTTCAGGTGACAGGAAACATCAGATGGCAAACCAACAAGAAGCAACAGAAACCCATTGTTCTTGGCTAGAAAGTAGGAAAAGGCTGATTGAGTTTCTAGTAATTAAATGGGTACTTCCTGAAACAACACCAGAGTGGAAGGAGAGCTTGGGGCAGGCAGCCCAACCATCCCTCACCCACCCACCACCGTTCATTCATTCATTCATTCCCTTGGGTACTTATTCCACCACTGGCTCACACTCAGTCACTCAACAAACATCTGACCAGCACTTCCTATGGGGAGGACACCAAGTTAGGGGTTAAGAAGGGATTCACCCAAGCATCCAACAAGCCTACTGGGCACCTACTGCATACCAGGAGCTATTGGAGGCACTGGGGTTGTAGCAGTGAACACACCAAAGTGTCTGAGAGTTCATCTTCTACTGCAGGGTGCACAGAGACAGACAGTGAGTACATCAGTAAACACACATGAGGTCAGAAGCACTAACTGCTTTGATGGATGGTGAGTAGGGGCAGGGGGTTGTGATTTAATGAAGGGGGTACCAGGTAAGGCCACACTGAAGGACAGCATTTGAGCAAAGCCCTGAAGAAGGTGAGGAAGGGGCTCTGAGGATAGCTGGAGAAGCCCGTTCCAAGCACAGAGGAGTACCAGAGCAAAGGCCGCAAGGCAGAAGTCTGCCAGCCACGCTCTAG